TATTTAAAAGTCACTCACTTTTTTAAAATAGATATTGCCACATTCTTAAATTCATGCATTTCTGCATTGCTATTGCACATGGTGTGTACAGAATAACTGTCTAGCTTGCCTTTGCAACTCTCCTTCTTCTTTGAATTCAGCACATGACCCCTCTCCCGCCCAGCCGCTCATGGCTTGTGTACGTCTTCCCTTCGGACAATCTTGTAGATGATCCAATAGAAAATATTGAAAATGAGGAAAGCCATGGGAAAGCCAATCCGTGAAATCTTGTCTATCTTCTTGGCTCGTTGGACAAAAAGCTTGCGCATTTCATCAGGAGACTTGGAAGGCGGGGGCGGTGGGTTGACGGTGTTGTTGTTGTTGGGTCCTTTGACAGAGATGCCATCCTTGGCTTGCAGGCAAGCTGGTCCCATCCCATAGGCTGAAAAGTTGAATCTGCCTTCTCCGGTGTCATCTTCCTGAAATATATTAAACATAGGGCTCTACTTACACATAAGATATAGACAGTGCACCCTTGCTATAAGGCTCTCCTGCCAACATTCCCAAAGTCACTGGCAGAGGGGTGAATCTCCCATGATGCCTTGGTCTACAGGGACAACCCTTCTCTTGGGGAGACTAGCCTTATAGATGGGTGCTGTTCAATGCACAGATGCAAAGCAGGGGATCCCTTTACAACTGGAAGGTGGGTTGACCTGCATTTACTTCAGGAACCATCCCTTTTAATTCATTAAGAAGATATCCCCTGTTTTGCTTCTGCCCCTCCTCCCCATCCATACCTTCTTTGTTCTTGGCTTGCCCAGAAGGAGCGGGCTCCATGTAACTCAGATAGTAGAAGTCATTCCATGAATATTTCTATGGAGTTACATGGACTTTTAGCAGAAAGGCCCTGTCTTTAAAAGATACCTCTACGGATCAATCATTGTACTGTTGAAATCTGATTTGCTTCTGTCTGTATTTTTTTTTTCTGGGGTTTTCCTTTCCACTTTGCTGCCTCCCTTAGGGTCTAGCTATACATGACAGAGTACCCATCATTTGAAGAGGGAATTCCTTAAATGCTGACAGTCTGGTGATTGTCCCAGCAGGCACTTTCCAGGTCTCCTGTAATTTGCAAATTCATTGTTTTATGACTGATCTCCAGGCCATCAACACATTCTTCCTTTTTAAGTCTGATTTTTCTCAGGCCTGAAAGGCTGCCTTAAGTCTCTTGAACACTAATGTAATTTCAGTTCTAACAATGGGCCATTTGTAATGGTTAGTCTGGCCTCCAGTCTTGTATGCAGCTGTATAATATTATGGAGGCACATCTATGCTGCAGACATAAATTAGTTGCACAATAGTTTTAGGAACTCGGGCAGTTAGCTGTGCTTGTAGTTTACCAATGGGTGTATTAAGTGGCAACAATCTCCAACTGAGAATTTCAAGCCCTGTCACAAAACACTGGCTCAGTTAAAAGAAACCACAGTTACATTTACTAGGGTTCTCTATTGGGGAGACTGTGATCATTAAACTAGAATAAGATAGGGCCAGAGTGAGATCCAACACAATGCTGATGAAGGGGGGGGGGAAGGTCTACCAGTGTAGTTACACAGGATCAAGGAAGAGGTGGTGGGTAGTGCTGGTATCTGCCAGCAGGTAGTTCCAGGATCCAGTGGAAGCTTGTTTGGGAGCAAGAGAGTCGGAACTGTTCCTAGGGTACTCAACCAAAGCCCAACCCTCCTGACAGCTGGCCTGTTTTACCTCTTGGCCTATCCTTAGTGTCCAGAACTACTTATGCAAGGAGGCCTCCTTGCACAAGCAGGAAAAATGTACAACTGCTGGCACAAGGGGGTTCTGCCACCACTAGATCCAGCCTACCATTATATCCCGTAGGTACGTCAAAAGAACTGCATTGCTGACAACTTCAATTGCAATACAGGCATGCCTGAAGCTGCATGGGAGCTAGAAGTGAACAATAGGGGTTAAATGGCTTTGTTTGTGCCTTTTTAAATGAACCATGAGCTGGGAAAGGAGGACAGTTTTTGAAGAGTTTAAGATTCTGGAAAAAATAAAGATGGCAATGAAAAAGGTGGTTAAATCTAGGATACATGTACCTTTCTTATTATGTAGAGGGAGCTTATTAAATTATTCTCCTCCTGGCACTAAAGGAGAATAAAATATGTCCATAGAAATTATTCATTTCGGCTTGCTGACTAAGAACCTTCTGACTTATCCAAAAGCATTCTTCTGTCAGAGTTGCCTGCCAGGACCAGGGAATAGAAACAGGGGCTTTAGATCAGAATGAGAGTTAAGACTCTAAATACAGAGGTTACTTATGAATTCTATCAGATTCTTTCCTATATATAAATTGCTATTTTTTCTGGCCTTATTGTATTGTACTAGTACACAGTTAAGAGGGCTGACACAAAAACGTTCATTTGGAAAAGGGTGCTGGAGAAGAGTTCTGCAGATACCTTGGACTGCAAGAAAAACAAACAAGTGGGTCCCAGATCAAACCAAGCCTGAATTATCTCTGGAGGCAAAAATGTTGAAACTGAGGCTGTCCTAGTTTGGGCACATCATAAGGCAGGATTCTTTGGGAAAAGCAATAATGCTGGGGAAGGTGGAAAGCAGCAGGAAAAGAGGAAGAGAAATATGAGATGGACTGACTTTTTTAAGGGAGCCACAGGCTTGAGTCTACAAGAACTTAGCAGAGCTGTTGAGGACAGGACATGTTGGAAGCCACTCATTCATAGGGTCACCATAAATTGGAGGTGACTTGATGACACATAACAACAACAATTCACATAGACCTCTTGCTTTTCACAGTAAAGCACACTGTATAGGACCATTGAATCAATGCAGATGTGTCAAACCAAGTCCTCTAGAAACCCCATTGATTCAAACAGGCCTACTCCAACTGCAACTTACTATGCTTAAAGTAAGTTGCAATTAAAGTAGGCTCATTTGAATCACTAAAATTTATAGAGAAATTAACTCATCAAATCCCCATTGAATTTGTTCTAGTGCAATTTACTACACGAAGCAACAGGTTTTCAAATGGATATGAGATTTAAGAAACAGGTATACATGTAGTCTTCTGGAAAAAATATGGTATTTCCAATTTGAATGTTAAGAGTTGGAAGAAAACGTGTTCCTATAGTAACAAAATCTGCCACTGATTAACCATTTGTGTGGATTTCAGTTTAAAAGTGTTCAGCAAGTCCTCTTCATATAGGTCTTTTGAAGCCTTTTCTCCGCAGAGTATCTTTTAAGAATGGCCTTGCTTTTTATATTGCATGGTATGGATGAATTGCATTGCTGCACATTTATTGCCAGAAAGTATGAATGGATGTCAGAGCGCTTTGCAAAATCCGTGTGGCTAATGTTGCATGACGTTTTGGTTAGTCTAGAGTGAACTGCAAGGTGTATGACTTACCTGCAAAACCGTTTAGCCTCGGTAGCAAGGCAGGCCTCTAAGGCCGTGCCTATTTCCCCTTGGCTCTCTGTTTCCACCAGGACTGTGCAATATTCTCTACAGTCACTCACTACTAAAATAATGGCATCTTTTCTGTACCCACCTTTCTCTACTTGTTCTCCTGTGTACAATGTCTTCTTGCAGCAGCACAATCAAAGGCACTTTTTTTTGATATCTATACTATGCATTCTCAATTATGAAAGGTGTTCAAAATGAGATTCATGATGCTCCTTCAAGCATTGTTATGGGATTGCAATGACTAACAGCGTTGGGTTTTTTCCCCCACAAACTTCTTCCTTGCACTGAAACATGCTTCCTCCTTGAGCAAAAACCAAAGCAAGGAAAAACAAAACTAAGCTATAATACACATTGTTTTGGGACATCTCAGAAGCAGTTTGTCACATGCCATTGGGAGGTGATGTTTTCTAGCAACAGAAATTCATAAGGAAGGACTAGTTAGACACATGGATTTCCCTTAAATGTCCTTATTTTGTTCATGTTTGTTACCTAATCTTTGTTATACTTCAGTGGGTTGGAGCACTAGCCATAAAGCCAAGACCTAGGTGTTTGAATAGTCTCTGTGCCTCCTAGGTTGGCTGAGAACATGCAGAGCATGTGTGGCTGATGAGCTTAGCTTAGGTGCCCTGTCATCTTTGCAGCCCTGGGCATGTACCACAGTCCCAGAATGCCACCAGAAAGAGGGACTGTTAAATCACTTTTGAGTATTTTATGCTAACAGAATCCTGGGAGGGTCTCTATAAATTGGAACCAAATTGGTGATACATCATTACTACCACATCCAACTGTCATACCATCCCTTGGGTTCTATCACCACTTGTGGTGTACTTGAAGGAAATATTATTATTACAGTGGTTCCTCGCTAGACGATGATAATCCATTCCACTGAAATTGCTGTTTAGCGAAATCACTGTCTAGCGAAAAGCATTTCCCCATTGGAATGCATTGAAACCTGTTTAATGTGTTCCAATGGGGAAGAATCGTCGTTGTCTAGCGAAGATCGGCCATAGGAAAGCCGATTTGCAAACCACCAATCAGCTGTTTAAATCGCTGTTTTGTGAAACTTAGGTCCCGAAAACACCCGTTTTGCGAGCATGGAAGGAGCTGTCAAAATCGTTGTCTAGCGAAAATTGGTTTGCGAAGCAGGGACCAAACATTCTTCAGTGAAATTCCCCCATAGGAATCACTGTTTTGCAAATCACTATAGTGATCGCAATAAGTCAATGTTTAGCAAAAAATAAAAATAAAAATAAATAAATAAAAAAAGTCATGCGGGGTAACTGTCTAGCGAGGCACCACTGTATTTTTCAAAATTTTTAATAAATTGATCTTAATTTCTTCTTCCTTGGCTTTCCTTATTGTAGTATTAAATTTGATTGGGTAGTTTTGTTTCATTTACCTACATTGGTCAAGGCTTCCCTTTTAAAACTTCCCAGCCCTGTAGTTGAACATATTGGTATTCCATCTCCAGTTGACATTACAAGGAAACCTTATATCTTTTAAGGAGAAATATTGCAGTGCCTAGGCAGGTGTCCCATCCTCCTTCCCTTGGCCTTTTTATTGGGCTCTAATGCAAAATAGGGGGGGAAAATGATACGCTGGTGCAATCAATAAAAGCAACAAGATAGGAAATATCACAGCATAAGTTGGCCAAGAACAGTGACTCAGGTTAACAGGTAAAATTCAGTACTGTATGCAATTGGGAGAGGCTTTCTGGGTCATTTAATAGATCTGTATGTAGTTCTCCATGCGGAGTTTCCATGTAGGCATACTATTTGTTCTCTGAACCAAGATTAAAGAAGTCAGGAGTTCATAGAACTATTATTTTGACAATTTTGGTGCTAGCCTACATAAAGAGATTCAAATTTATTTAAGAGGCAGATTTAGATTATGGTGACACAGGAAAATGTGGCTTATCAGGTTATTAACTGGATTTTGCTATTTTAATTTGTGTGATAGATGAAGCATTGAAAATTGCTATCCCAGTTAAAAGTGGATGAGCAAGCTATGGAATGGGACAGGGAAATTGTCTTTTAACCTCGGGGTGGCTTGGTGCTTTTTAGAGATCCTTTGTTTTTTTGGTGGGGTTGGGGATGGAGCATCGCCACCTACTGAGTCCCCATATAAATTAATGTAGAATAAAGCAGACCTTATTCATGCCAGCAGGTGGCAGCAATGCAGAACAAGAAAGAGAACTCGCTCTCTCTCTCCTCTGGAAGAGACCAAAACAAGACCTGCACATTTTAGCGTGATAGCGCCAGACTTCAGACCTGTATCACATTCAAGAAGATAGAAGCTCAACTCTAAGGAGCTAGGAAATCCCATATTCTTGTTTCTGGATTTACCTTTACAGTCCACTATAATCTGAAAATCATCCCATGTCCCTTTCCACCTGCCTGTTGTTCTGCACTTCCGAGTGAACAATGGTAAAGAGCTCCGATTCAAAGGCTGCTACCTTCAACCCACCCACCCCCATCTCTTCTTGCTGTTGGCCCATTGCTCTGTTTCTGGCATTCCCCCTTGTTTGAAGAAGCAGGGGCTGCCTCACTGAGCCGCGTGACCTTGCTCTCGCACTTGCCAACTGCTGGACTGCTTTAAGTAACTTGGGGAAATTAGTTGTGCTTTTGCAGGCTGCTTAACATCCCTTTTCACACCCCTTGGTTAAGGTCTGACTGCCCTGGAAAAGGAAGGAAAACAAGAGAGAGAGAGGCAAGCCTCTAAATGTACAGAAAAATAATAGGGAACTTCAGTGAAATTCTATATTGCCTCGAGCTTTGAAAGGTTACTTTTTTGGGGACTACAACTTCCACAGTTCCCCACCTAGCTCCTGGGAGTTGTAGTCTGCAAGCTCTAGAGCTGCCCACATGAAGGCTTCCCTATAGGGAAAAAGTTTATTGAGTTACTCCGGTTTTTTTCAGGAGTCAATTTACTGTTTAAGTTTGTATGTGTATTCATATTTGAGTAAAACATATGACTCTCCAAACTATGGGGGATAGGCTGAGATAGGTGAATAGCAAAGGACAGTGGTGGAAGCAGGGAGGGATGTGAAACACACACAAAAGGCCAGGGTCTCTGCTTTCTGAAGAACAGCTTTCAGACTACTGAACCCCAGAGCTGAATGCTAATGTGAAGAGAGCGTTCAGTGTACAACCTTTGTTCTCACAGAGTCAAAAGACAAGATCCACATTAAATCAGTCTGAAACCTTCATCAGACAGTAGAGGTGTGTCTATGTTACATTTTAATATTCATTTTACGGTACATTAAATTGTCACTGACAAGTATAATTGGCGAAGGTGGTAAAATGTCTGCTCTTGCTCCCTTAGTTCACTCACAGAAGGACAGATCTCAAGGCTTCTTGAGAAGGAGGATGATTGTTCAGCAAGTGTAAGTTAACTACCTGCATGAGATACACCCCTCCTGTCAAGCTCCCCTTGTGATGCCTCTACCAATTAGTGGTCCAATTAGTTTCAACTGAGCTAGGATTTTCAACCTACAGAAAGCTGTACAATTGAAAGTTGTTTCAGAACGTCTAAGCACCCCAAAAGGTTACTTTTTTTTTTAGACTTATATACCGCCCCATAGCGCTACAAGCAGCCAAGTGAAAGTTGTTTCAGAACTTCTAAGCACCCCAAAAGGTTACATATTCTCTTCAAGAAAAATCCATCTCAGAAATTCAAGGAATACTGTATATTTGTCACCTTCCTAAAGTACATTTAAAGTGACAAATGCAAAAAGAAAGGGGGACATATTTCTTAGCAAGTTGTATACTCAAAACACCAACAGAACACTCAGATCACATGTCAAGTTGCAAACACAACCCACTGCATGCTCACTGTTCAATTCTATGATCATTTGATCTCAACGTAAAGGTGGGCAGCCTCTCACCATAAGGGTTTCTATGTATTTAAAAACTGGATAGAATAGGAAATTGTGGAGAACTCTCCGGGCTGGAAAGATAGCTGTCTCACATGTAATGCTTTGGTGTTCTGCAGCGAAGATTCCTGAAGAATATAGGATACTGTATAGCGTGTTTTTTTTTAATGCTTCTCAAAGCACAATGCTTCAGGATCAATGAATTTGCTCTGCAATAGACAGAGGGATCTGATGGGATGTGGTAGACAAAGCCAGTATGTAAAGTTTGGCTTGCAGGAACAATGGTAAAAGGTGGAGGGAGTGGATTTTAGCTCCCGTCAGTCCATTTTTCACTTCCCTCTTTCCCTCATATTTATTTTATCCTAGGATTACAAGTGATGTAGGATGAACAGGGCTAATCATAATAATTATGTAGCATCAAGTCACTTGCAACTCAGAAGTGGTTAAACAGTGCCTTCTTTCAGGGAGTGCTCTGGGATCATGTAGCTTGCCCATGCCACACAGGCTAGCTGTTCTGCTACAAGGCACAGTGGGGGATTGAATTCCCTACCAGTTGCTCCATCTCACTGAGCTCAATCTCAGCAACTTAATTTAATTTCCCTCTTTCCTTCATACTAATTTCCCCCAGGACTGCAAGACCACCTATTCCATGCTGGTCAAAACCTCAAACAAAAGCCTTCTTAGGAGTACTGTAGGTGGGAATATATTAAAACATTTCATCGCAGGTCACCCTTGTGATAGTCATCTCTTATATGCCCTGTACCATTGCAAAATTCATGTGGAATAGGCAGGTTTATGAATGGTGTACCTACCAAGTTCATCTTGTTCTACATGAACTCATGTGCACCAATCCAGTTTAATACAGCGAAACACACAGCAGAAGGTTTGACTTGTGAGAAACTTTGTTCCACTTACCTTTGGGTTGTATGAAACTGGCTTCCTAAAGGACACAATGCTAAGATCCTTTCTGTTACCCAATTTAATTAGTAAAAGACAGCAAAGGTCATGAACAATGTTGTAGCATGTGAAGCAATGAGGACACACAACTGGGAGAACTTCTTATATAAAAACAGGCTCTTTAATTGGCAGATTTTCTTAAATTGCAAGAACAAGCTGAATATCATAGGAGCAGCAACTTCTGGTTTTCTATTTTGATAGTTTCCTGAGACCCCTCTTAAATGATCTTCATACATTTAAGGCCCTTTTATCTTTTTTACACAGTGGCCAGGTTCACAGAGCATCCACTGTGATAATCAGCGAACAGCATCATCTTCAGAGGGAAGATGCCTACCTGTCAAAACACAAGTAGATTTGCTGAAGGTGTGCCAGGAAACATTGTTTGGCTGTGATTCCCAGGCACTTGCCAACTGCACCTTACAATACACACATCACTGCCTTCAAACATTGCAATCTTCACCTTAAAGACACCCAAATGGCATGCCAGCATTGTGCCTCCCAAAGAATGGGCCCCCAAGGATCAAGTCTTGATCAGACTGGTCTTGTGCTGCAACCCACCTTTTTTCAGCTGTGTTTTGCATTGTTGCACAGACTTGCGTATCACTTACCTTGTGGTGCCGCCTTCTTCTTCTGAACCTGAGTAGCTCTTTGTGCTGCCGGGACACGAAGTTGACAGCAGCATACTCTAGAAGAGCTGAGAACACAAACAGCAAGCACACAGCCATCCAGATGTCAATGGCCTTAACATAGGACACCTGAGGGAGGCAAGAGAATGAGATTTGTATGTGGTTGCAGGGTCTCAGTAGGTTGGAGTAACAAAATTAAGAAAGCCTTTCCCAAGTTCTCCAGCAAGCATACTGTAATAGGCAGCCTTGACCTCACCTGTCCGTCACAGCTGGGCAGGGAATCATCAGCCAATGGTGTGACGGAGGGTGGAACTGAAGGGGAGGAGCTGGTATAAAAATGGGGGGTGAAGAGTGTGAGGAGAGAGATTGGAGTAGAGAGAAATTGTTTGAGAGAGTGAGATAGAATTGGTGAGAGCTTGTCAGTGAGGGAAAGGTCTGTGCGATTTAGCAATTGAGAAACCGTGATAACCAACATGATTTACTACCTGTGCTTCACTCTTTATTTTGTCTAATCAATAAACAAGTTTTTTTTGGTTTGGAAAAAGTACTTGTCCTTTTGATTATAAGGATAAGTTGGTGGCAGCAAGTTTTTGAAGTGAAGTAGTGACCACTCTTGGAGGCCTGAGTTAGCAGAGGCTTGAGAGTGGGCTGCTACACATACTTAATATACAATACTCAGAGCTTGAAGTAATGGTTTACAAGTGACACAATTATCTGTAACTAGTTACTAAATTTCATTTGAAATATAACACAGTGAATAGTTTCAAAATTACTTTTCTGGTATAACAAGTAACATTGTCTAGTAACTTTATATATACGTTTATAGGGTATTTTGAATCATTTAAAAGCGATTTTGAAAAGAAGGGAGCTGAAGTATCTAGAACACAGTAAAAATTCCCTGTATTTTTCTGATGAAGTGGCAAAGAACACTTCGATAATGTCTCATGCAATGTTATTTTTGTGACTAGACTAATCAAAAGGACCACCTACAGGCCTCACAGTAATCAGTAGCACAAAAAGCTTTCGATTTTTAAGTGTGGTGATTTGTCTTCTTCATGTAGATCAGAGGTTCCCAGCCTTGAGAAACCCATATGTCCTTGGACCATGTACTGTAGATCAGTGGTTCCCAGAAGTCTTCACCACCAGCTGTCCTGCCTGGGGTTTCTGGGAGTTGCAGTCCAAAAACACCTACCTGGGTTACACAAGGTTGGGAATTATTTCTGTAGATGGGTGGCATTTTACAAATAATAAGAAATGGGCCAAATGTTCTTTCCCAGTTAACAGACATCTATCATCCTCTAAACTCTTGAATGTACAACAATAGTGAGAGTTCCTGCCAGAGAAACCATAAACAATCTGATAGGACCATGGCAGAGCAGTAAGGATAAGAAGTACCGATATTCAACTTTTCACCTTATATCTGACTCTCATCTTTGAAAACTAGAGACAATTTTTCCTTCTTTTTAAAAAATGTATTGTATTTGCATATTGCATATTTCCAGGAAACTCAGGTTTAAAGTAGACATTAAGGGAAATGTACATTTCCTGGAATTAGTCCATTTTTTCATCTCATAACACGAATGTTATCAGAGACGCATGCCTGGGCAATCAGACTTGTGAATTAAGCCCATTTTTAAATTCCAGTACTCCTGTTCGGTTGTTAATGAAGCAAATAGAGCCCACATGCATTGGGAGGGGAGCGCCCTATTTCTGACCTCTCATGATTGTGTTGAACACAGAAATACAACAGTATGAAGAGTGGTGGGCTGCTCTACTTGAATTGAACCTCCAGTTCTGTGGATCTCTCATTTATCTGGAGCAGCTACCTGTTATAGACAATCACATTTCCATGTTCAACACAATGTCGGAAGGGACATGTGCCTCTGAACAAGAACTGCTGGATAGCCCAGTGGTTTAGGTACCTGGCTGTGGAGTCAGAGATAGGGAGTTGGATTCTACACTATGCTTCCTTGATAGGGGCTGGACTCGATGATCTATAGGGGCCCTTCTAGTTCTGTAGTTTTAAGATTGTAAGCTCCACATACTTCCTTAACAGTGCAGTAAGAACTGACTAATCATGGGGGGGGGGAAGCACTCTTGAATGCAAAATATGGAGGTGTGGTAAAGCATGTGCTAAAATAGACATATTTTACCACATAACCAAAGCAATGTTTCTGACTATGAGCTGAGCATATGGTGTATTTTGATTCTCAAAGGAGTAGATGTGGGGGCTTCCAGATGGTCTCCTGGTGAGACATATTCAGCTTTTATGCCTTCATGAATGTCCCTTCAAAGCAACTTTGATTAAGTGCTATCCAGATTGTTACTTCTCTTAATTCTTGCTAACTTTACTTTGTTATATAACTGAGATAGTATAAAGGGACTTAACTGCATGTTGAGGTGGTTATTTTTTTCTTTAGTGAGAAAAGTTACTTCAGAAAGATGATGATTTGACTAGGGGGATGGAGGAAGGAGTAATCAGACCTGCCGTCCCTAATCGCTCATCTGCTCCAAATCGCCTTTGTACTCTTGTACAAGTTTGGCAGCAAACTCTCACTCATCTACAAGTATTGATTGTGTCACATGCCTGATAGCATAATCTGGTATTGAGTAGCCATTTATTGCCAAGATTAAGCAAATTGGTTCCCTTTGGTCTAGATGGGCAGGGTTGAAGTCAAATAAATAAATAAATAAATAAATAAATTCCCCATTTTCAGTTTCCAAAAAGTAACACCTTGCAAAAATCAATGTATTGCAGAGAAAGTTGTTGTTTGCAGCATTTAACTTCAAAGCTCTAATCATTCATTTGGAAGCTTTAAAAGAAAAACACTAATTAATTATGCTTAGATTGTATTCTCGCATTGAATAGGGCGTTGGACTTGATGGCCTTGTAGGCCCCTTCCAACTTCACTTTTAGTTTCCAAAAAGTAACACCTTGCAAAAATCAATGTATTGCAGAGAAAGTTGTTGTTTGCAGCATTTAACTTCAAAGCTCTAATCATTCATTTGGAAGCTTTAAAAGAAAAACACTAATTAATTATGCTTAGATTGTATTCTCGCATTGAATAGGGCGTTGGACTTGATGGCCTTGTAGGCCCCTTCCAACTTCACTTTTCTATGATTTCTATGCTTCTAATGAGTTTCTGAACCATACATGAATATGGCCAGGAGATGTTCTGAATGACATTAGCAGAACATCATCAACTTGGAAATAATATGAAGTTTCCTGGTGCCAACTGGTCCTTTGTCTTTGTTAAGTCCACAACTGCCAGCTGTGACTGTCAGCAGGCCTCTCCAGGGTCTCACCTGTTACCTTTGAATTATTAAAGGTTGGGAATGGCAAAACATGTGTTCTATCATCATGGTCTATACAGAATGCCAGCTTTGTAATTAGAAGTGAAGCTTCCTAAAAAGGTAGTAATATTTTCTTCTTCTAGCATAATATTTCCACAACTCTGCAAGTTGCAAATCACCTTGATTTTGGCTGATGATTGGTTATTGGGAGTTAGCAATGGTACTTCATTGACAAGCTGACTGCACTGCACTGCTGGAAGAAAGAAGATGGCATTCTGTGACCTCCCAACGGCAAAGGTGGCATCTTGTATTGTTTGACCCAAGAGAGTTCTCTATTGACTGTTTTAACGCGGGCGGGTATGTTACCTTTGGCAAAGATGCTCGAGAACCAGAGCTTTGTGTGGTCATAGTGAGCACAGTAGTGATACCCAGACCAACTCGAGCAGGGGCAGCATCCATGTTGATCCAGAAGGAGATCCAGGAGAGAATCACAATGAGCAAACTGGGGATGTACATCTGGATCAGGTAATAGCCCATCTGTCGCTCCAGGTGGAAACGGGCTTCTATACAGGTGAACATGCCTGGGAGTCACAAGAAATTCAACATATATGTGTTAACCTTACAAGGAAATATCTAATGTGGTGTAGTGGATAGAATGATGGAGTCCTACGTTCAAATCCCCACTCAGCCATGGAAGCTCACTGGTGATGTGGAACTGGTTAAACCACTCCTTAAATATGTCACTTAGCCCTATTAGGGTCACGACAAATTGGTTCCAACTTGATAGCACATAAAAATAACAACCTAAGGAGGATCCACTGATGGGTGGGTGGGTGGAACAAATTAGATTCTTAGTAAAATGAAGCAACTGTAAACAAAAGGTGACTTCCATCACTGCCATATCTTGCACAAACTTGGGCATAAGTTCAAGGATAAGTCAAAAGGGCAAAGATGTATATCAGCATTGTGTGAACAGCATATGACCGCTGTGATGACTTCATGACACAAAACAAGAAAAAAAGGGGAAAGAACACAGAAGAGCAGTAGAGGCCCTGTGGGCCTTGTAAGCTTTTGGTTTGCCTCCAGACTGTTTAGAAAACAGAGTAAGAAAAGAAAATGCCCCTACATAAGATTTAGATGAGTTCTAATGGCATCACGGACAACCTACCCATTAGTTGGGTCCTCAGATGGGCTCAGTTGAGAAGTACTCAGTTAAATGCACAGAGCCTTGACCTGCTGATTACATCTGAGGATAAATGTTTAGCATTCATCTTTCATGACTGACCTGTGTTGTACTTTTTAGTGCAATCACGCAAATCTTTTTCTTCCTTCAGGATGAACTGGGGCAAAGTTAAGTCATCAGCAACCTGCACAGCACCACTCTTCTGCCACTTAAATATCAGATCGTTCATTGTGTAGCCAACTGTGGAAACAAGGAGAAAAGAGGCATTGACTGGGAACCGAGGCCTTCACTTGGCATAGTAAATATTAGCATCTGGTAGTTCAAAGTCTTTGTTTATTGACAGTGAGATACCAGTACAGATGCAATTGATGCTATTCCCATCTAGAGTCAAGGTGAAGTCCAAACTAATGTGTAGCCTCTATCAAAAAGTTATTTCCTTCCCTTATCTAACATCTAGTACAATGGTTCTCAGTCTTGGGTCCCCAGATGTTCTTGGACTAGAACTCCCAATAATCTTTAGCTCTAACTGTGCTGGCCAGGATTTCTGGGAGTTTTAGTCCAAGAACATCTGGTGACCTAAGATTGGAAAGGACTGGTCTAGAAGAACATGCCTTGTTATGTGATCAATGCATTTCTGGGGCTCCATAATTGGTGGGCAGTGACAGGTAGCTAGGAAGGGGAAATGTGGAACATCACAACCGTACAATGTTAGTCCTCTTGGGTACTCAAAGAAGAGAGCTACCAAAAGCATTCCAAGAAACTGGGTGGGGGTAGGATTTGATTACCATATTTTTCCATGTATAACACCCCCAATATATAAGATGACCCCCAATTTTGACCCTTTTCTGGAGGTGGAGGTGAAGGAGCAGCCACGCTCAACTGCCCCTCGCTGCCCATTGACTGTTACTGCCGCTGCCATCCAATTGCCTCCTCCAGTGCCACTCACAGGAACTGCCCCTTGCTGCTGCCCATTGTTACTGCTGCTGCCGTCCTTTTGCCTCCTCCAGTGCCACTCACAGGGCTCACCTCCATCTCACACCGCCGCCTCATCCCCTGCCTGGATGGAGCCTGCGAGTGGCACTGTAGGAGCTGATCCGACATCGGCGGCAGTAGTCAATGGGCAGCAGTGAGGGGTGGCTGAGCGCGGCTGCTCCTTCACCTCCTCCTCCTTCCGTGTATAAGACGACCTTCAATTTTTCCTCTAGTGATTTTAGGAAAAAGTGTTGTTTTATATGTGGAAAAATATGGTATATTTTTACCACAATACCTAGTTTGATCCTTCAAAGAAGACCACAAAGGGAGTGAAGGGCAGAGGTCAAAGTCTGATAAATAATTAGTCAGGCATTGTATCCAAAAGTCTTCTGCAGAGAAGGGACTCCTCTGCTCCCTATAACCTTCAAGTATTCTCTAAGGAGAATCTGTGCTAAATCTGTGCTGGACTGCTTGAACAGCTGAAAGGGAGTGTGATCAGAGGAGCATGTAAACTTGCATATGACATACAGTCTGTCTGATGTTTTGTCTCTTCCCCCTTCCCTCTGGTTCTTCTTTCATAACAGGAGGACTTGGCAGAGAGCCAACTGGCAATGCTGTGTGCGTATGCGTGTGTGTGTGTGTGTGAAGGGGCATGCTTATCCACAGAGTGGCAGTTATTTTTAGAGAGGAAACCTTCAGGACTCACAGCTCTCTAGCTGCATGATACACGTCTGGACATCCATGGGGAAATTCTTCAGGTCCATGGGGCAGGCCAATGTCAAGGTGATCCTGGGAAGAGAAAAGAGACCATGAAGTGGGGCTGACCTTTTTTCGGTAGTCACGACAACTAAAAAGTTAGAGTCAAGTCACTAGGTGACAGCACTCTGTTAAAGTGGAGGCACATTCTGGCTTCGCCCTATAGATGAGGCGAAGAAGGCATCTCTCACACACAACCCACTGGAAATATAACTATGTCCCACACTCCCCTTCTATTATACCATCATCACCATCACCACCACTGTTATCACTTTTGTCCTTACATCTTATCATGTTTTTCCTCTAATTGTATTATAATTAAAATGTGTGTGATCTGCCATCAATTGATTCCAGATTATGGCAACCTTTGTATGGTTTCCAAGGCATGTGAGACATTTAACAGTTAGTTTTACAAGTGCTGCTCCCCAGTAAGTTCCCAGGGCTGAGTGGGGATTTGAACTCAGATCTCCTGAGTCCTAGCCTGGCATTCCATCCCCTATGTTGCCTTGGCTTTCTAGCTGCATACTCACTGCTGCTTGATATTGGTGCTCTCACGGGAACAGAGGAAGCTTCATAAAATGGAGTCAGTACCTTGTTTCACCTAACCCTATCCTGATGAAATGGATTCTTTCCCCTCCCTGTCTAGAGAGGCTGAGAACTTCGGATCTCCTGAGTCCTAGCCTGGCATTCCATCCCCTATGTTGCCTTGGCTTTCTAGCTGCATACTCACTGCTGCTTGATATTGGTGCTCTCACGGGAACAGAGGAAGCTTCATAAAATGGAGTCAGTACCTTGTTTCACCTAACCCTATCCTGATGAAATGGATTCTTTCCCCTCCCTGTCTAGAGAGGCTGAGAACTGCCTTTGAGGTCCGAGATGGGCATTGGTTGAAATTGCAAAATTCATCAAAAATGGCTGATTTGTCTATTCGTGTTCATCTGAATCAATGCCCTCAAAGGAATCAATGAATTTTTAGTGATTTTTGATTTGTCAATTTGTCAAGCTATAAAACAGTCCCTCAGGCACCTGGAGACACCAAAATTGCAGAGAAGTTTCCCCTGACTCTCCTCTACAACCCCTCCAAGTTTGGTGAAGATTGTGTTTTCTCAAACCAGATGCTAAAGAACACTTTCCTGGGGGAGACCACTTTGCGGGTGTATAACTTGAATGTCTGAAACCCAATCTTCACCAAACTTGGAAGGATTGTAGAGGAGAGACAGAAGAAGTGATTTTGGTGTCTCTCAGTGCTTGGAGAGCTGTCTGATAGGGTTTTAAGTAAAACATGAATTGACAAATAAATTCATTGATTCATCAGAAAAAAATCATAAAATTGTTATTCATGATTTGTCAACCTTGATGAATCATGAATCAAAATGAATCACCATTTTTCTGATTCATGCCCATCTCTAGTTGAGATGCAAAGCATGGAATTCTCCATCAGAGAGTCAAGCCCCCTTTTTACATAAACATTATCAAAATACTTACTTTAATTACAGTACATGCACAATTATACTGCCTGGGAGGAGGCTAGGCTGGACCATTTCTCCTGACATATTAGTTTTGCAGATGCAACTTCTCAGTCTTTGGTCCTCCAGCAGTTTTGAACATCATCTGCCAGAAACTCTGATCATTAGCCAGGTAGCTGAAGGGCCAAAGATATGAGACTACTGAAATCAGTGCTGTAGAGCAGCGGTTCTCAAATTTGGGTCGCCAGATGTTCTTGGACTGTAACTGCCAGAAATCCTGGCCAGCAGAGCAAGTGGTGAAGGCTTCTGGGAATTGCAGTCCAAGAACATCCGAGGACCCTAATTTGAGAACCAGTACTCTGGAGAACATTTTAAAATAAACAAACAAAAATCAGGGAGGAACATGGAAAACTGCCACCAGCAATTTGATGTGATAAAGCCAGTATGAGGCTGTATGAGTCAATTCCAACTTTTGGCAACCCTTTTCAGGGTTTCTTAGTTACGGAGTCCACAGAAGCAGTTCACCATTCCCTTCTTTGGGTGCACCCTGTGCAGTAAGCCTAAGGCCACACAGGATGGCTCATTCTGGAATGCAAAGTGGGGAGATGAGCTCCCAACCTCTGCCTCTGCCGCCACATACCTAACCCACCAAGTTATCCTAGATAAGGAGAAAATAATAGCCTAAGACACACTGGAAAGGCTGTCGGTTCCGTATTGTGGGCAGGCATATTCCACAAAATTAGGGCATGTCATCAGAACGATCTAGTTTATAACTGCCCTTTGATTTGCATACGGCCATAATGACCAATGATTGATGTAGCCCTGTGGAAGATGTGGCTACTGGGGTCCCATCAGATTCTGCAACAACCCTTATGTTAGAAGAGGAAAACATGGATTTAGATTAGCAAAATTTATTGTGAGAACAACTAACATCTCCCTTGCTAAATAATTCCACCTTTCTCACCTTTCTCCACCCTGCCCTACATAAGTATTGCCTCTTTGTCTACTTTTCAGACAGCAGAAGCTTGAGAACACATGTCTGTCACCTCCCCCGCCCCCAGCAGAGCAATGAATGGCAGGTCACCTTTGGTGGCTGTTTTGTTACCTACCAAATGTTCACTGGAAAACATTTAAAACAGCTGTGTGAATTGAAGCTTTAGGGTCCCCCAAGCACTGAGCTACGTATTTTGCTTACTGCTTGGCTGTCTGGCGTCTGCTGTTTGAACTACAGCAACATCCTGTGGTTTTTTTGTCTGCATTACAATCCTGGCTGTTTATTGTGTTCCTCGGCACCAATATGACACCTGCAACATGATCCAGGTGTCGCAGTGGGATGTGCCCATTCCATTTTGGGATTGCGTTGCCAGGCTTCAGTGAGCCAAAGTCTGCAAACATAACACAAGTTCACAGGAAGATTGTCTTTAAAATCTATTTCCAATGCTTGACCAGTCGGGAGCTAGACTGTACTTGGGGAGAAAACTACAAGTTCTTAATTTCATGTTTTTTCCTAGAAGTGTTGGAGAGGGAGGTTTGGAGGTAGGCAGAAGAGATAGGCAGCAAATGAAAATGAGTACAATCGTTTCACTTTGTTTTTGTTGTTACGTGCTGTTATGTCACCTACAACCCATGAATGAGCAATCTCCAACATGTACTGTCCTCAACAGCCCTGATCAGCTCTTGTAAACCCAAGCCTGTGGTTTCCTTTAGGGAGTCAATCTATCTTGTATTTGGTCTTCCTCTTTTTCTGCTGCCTTCAACTTCTCCTAGCATTTTTGGCTTTTCCAGAGAATCCTGTCTTCTCAAAGCAGGACTGTCTCAGTTTCAACATTTTTACCTTCAAAAAAAATTCAGGCTTGATTTCATCTAGGACCCACTTGTTCATCTTTTTGTCAGTCCAGGGTATCTGCAGAGCTCTTCTCCAGCACCATACTCAAACAGATAATTCCTCCCCCCATCAGCTTTCCCTAAAGTCATTGCTGCTTTCTGTCAATAAGATGGTGTCATTTGCACATCTTAAATTACTGATGTTCCACCAATTCTGACACATCTTCTTTATTTCCTGTTTCCAATTACATATTCTATTTGATTTCTATACTGCCTATCTGGCAATGTGTATAGTTGTCTGTTTAGTTGCTTGAAGCATGAGTTTGTGGTAAACAGATTACTGCCTTCATAGAACTCCACGAATCATTCTTCTGCTTAATTTCTGACCCCTAGACCAAATTCCCATGACATTTCACTCTGCTTTATTTCTGGTTTCAATCCACAGTTTTTACATTCCACTCATCTATGCTTATAAGCATGTCTTATTTTGGTGTGTGATCAATTTCCTCCCGAATGCTTGCATAAAAGCTTTCAATTTAATCTTCTTGAGCATCTGTAGTTAGAGCATAGACTTGAATTATGATTTTGTTGATCTGTTTTCCTGGGTGTCTGATGAATATTATTAGATCAAACCATAGCCTCTTGCCTCAGTATTATAGGCACTCCATTCTTTCTAAGTTTTGTCAGTTCTAGAGTAAAACACTTTGTACTTGTCTGACTGAAAATATCCCATTCTGGTCCACTTTAGTTCACTGACACACATCACAGCAATGTTTAAATATTCCATTTCTTGCTTTACCATTTCCAGTTTACCTTGCTTCATACTTCTCACATTCCGTGTTACAATTGTATGTGTCATAAAGCACCAGACTTTACTTTTACCTTTCTGCACAATCACTCAGTAGAATCCTTTTGGCTTTAATCTGGTTGCATCATTAGTGACAGTGCTGTTCATACTTGTTTTTTGCTCTTCCCCAGTAGATGATTGAGTGCTTTGTGCCCTGGAAGTCTCATCCTTCAGCACTATCTCTTGTTTCATTTTGGACTGTCTCATCATAGGGTTTTTGTGGTAAGGAAAGTTCAGCAGTGGTTTACCATGGCCATCTTCTGCACAGTACTAACAAAATTTAGCTTGAATGACATTGCCATTGTCTGTGAAAGATCTTCTACCAGTGCTGCCTTCAGCTACTGCTGCCACTCAGTAGCTGCTGTCCCGAATCACCATTGGAACTATCTCTTCTCTTCTGATGCTGTGGCCATTACTCCTGAAGAAGGTGGACGCATCTCAGTCTGGTGCCTCAACTGTGACCATTCCACCTTTGGTGATCCTGCAAGGAATCCAGCTCATTATGAAGCCTAGCTTCCTGATGGCATTGCTTTCAGCTTCTCTCAGTCAAAATCCCCTCACCACATTAATGCATGCATTCAAGAAGGGGTGCTTCACTTCACATAGCATTAATCTGAAATCTAGCGACCCAGAAATAACTGTACTGAAAAATAGTGGTGGCAAAGCCATATCTGTCTGGCTGCACTGTGTGATTTTTCTCTCTCTCGCTCAAAATAATTTTCATTATTTTGAAAGCAAGGGATAGTGAGCTAAAACAACTTTCTAATTCTAACATAGTGTGTGGGAAATCTCCTTACACATTTTTGAACTGTACTTCATTTTAAAAGACTGGGTAGACAGAACAGTGTTGAGCCTACATTCATGTTGCATTTTCTACTGTTTTTCTAGGTTCACACTGAGGTTTTGCAAATTTACAAAACTGGAATACAGAATTAACATGTGGAATACAAAACTGACATGTGTTAGAGGTAATCCTAAATATTACTTTGTTCAAGTACCTGGAGGTCCCATTGACCTCAGTGGGATTTACTTCTACACAGACAATCATACGTGTTGCATGGGTAATTCCCCCATAAGAATATAAGATGTCCCTTGCTGGGTTAGACTCTATTTAAAAGAACACACTGTAATTTTGTATAGCTGTCTCTGTAGATATTATATATTCCACTAGATTATATAGATTTTTTAAAAAAGAAACCTCTTCTGTCCAATGCTAGTTTGGGCTAGCTGAGCCAAAAATCAGAAACAAAACGCAAAACAAAACAAACCTGGGTGCTTTCTTTTTTAATATAATTATTTCTGGATGTTGAGGCTTAGGTGGTATAATGGGAAATAATTATATTGACACCATGCCATCCACTATACTCTAACATGAAACAGTACTCCAAGAATGCTTATCTCTTTTCTTACAATTTAAAAATGTTGGCTAATTTATGATCCATATAGGATTACAAGCTTCAGGCTGGCTTCTGCATATTGAGACCAGTGATGCAGTGATAAATTTGGAGATGCACATGTTCATCACGACTGTTGCCATAGTTAGGCCTCCTCAGGGAGTTCAAAAATTTAGGCAGCTTGATCAGTCTCTATCAAGAAAGAGATCATGGATATTCCTGAATGTGATGGCTCTTAGTTATCTATTCAAGACTAAAATTCCCTCAAATACTTATTCAATATAACAGGCATAATTTGCAGCAATATACAATTCTCAGGAAAATCAATTTCTCTTCCAGCTGCACTGAAGACTGCAACTAAGCTCAGAGGAAATAAGGAAGCCTCAGTAGATGGTTGGGGTATTTACAGTGGAGGATGATATCCTCGTCTCAGATGCTCAGAAAGTCCCAGGTCTGGGATGCTGTGAGTCCTGGCTCTATGATGCCACTGCTCATTGTGTTCTTAGGACTTACTGTATACCATACTGGAGATGTGTGAATGAGCCCTATTCCTTTCCCTTTACCTGATACTGTACAGGACATCACCATTTTTCGAGATACGCAAGAGTTTGTTATCTGTTGTGATCTCGTGGAAGTGAGCTCCTTTCTCATTGGCAAAGAACAAATCTGGCTTCCAGATGGAGTCCAACATCGATGGGTCCAAGTCTAGGGCATCATCAGGATACTCATTATATGCCAGCCGGGGATCATTCCACTGCTGCCGCAGGAAAATATTCACTCTGTAGTCCTATATTAGAGAGAGAGAGAGAGAGAGAGAGAGAGAGAGAAAGCAAAGTAATCAGTGAAGTGTTCAGAGGTAGATATCAGTAACTGCTGAAACCGTCAACGTTTTGAAAAGAGACTTTTGGGGACTACAACTCCCAGAATCCACCCAGTCAGCATGGCCACTGAGGTAGTCTAGAAGCTATCATCCAAAGAGGGGCTGAAATTCTATTGGAAAATTCTACGGATATAAAAGGGACTGAGCAAATGGGTTTTTGCAAATGGTTTTATGGCCATCTGCTACACACATAGGTATGTGACTTGGCTATATCTGAGTGCATAACAGACAGCTAGAATGGTCCTGCAGACCAGCTACAGAATTTCTGGTTTATGTTACGTGATGGCAATCAGATCCTAGCCAGTAAATCTTCCATGCTCCGGAAGCTGCATAGATCAGTGCAGCATGAAGGACACTGAGAAGCAGCTGAAATGCTCCTTCTTAGCACAGTGTCTTTATTTTTATCCTTGTAGCCCAGGGGTTTCTCACAGGGCAAGCAGCTGTAATCCCCAACACCTGCTCCATGAAGCAGTTTCCAGGCTATGCTTAACCAGACCAAAGTGGCAGTCCATGTGACAGGAGACAAACATGTCCTCAGGCTCATGGGCAGGTGAAGCAGTTTCAGTTGGGTTATGATAATGAAATATCATTTATCTTTTATGCACGGACATAATGTGTGTGGAAGATGCAAAAGCGTGCATGGAAAGGAGTCTTGCCATGTGTTTCTTAATTATAATAATAATTTCCATAAGCCTGTTCTATGTTTTACATCCTCAGCCCCATTTTACACATGGATCAGGAAAGGAAAGAGTTGAAGACACTAGCAAAGAACAATCCAGGAAATGGGAATCAGTCACAGAATGAATCCTAAAAGACCCCATTCCAGAAAGACCACCAAGGGATCAGAAAGACACACATCCTCCATAGCGGGAGGAAGCCATTTTGCTTTCCTCCTTTGATTCTGAAGACAGCACATCCATACTTGGGACAGCAGGAGTTTCCTTCACCCTCAACTCTTTGGCTGTAATCTGGCACCTCTTCCTGAGGACCTTAACATGCCTGCTTAAGCACAAGCAGTATTGCCAGAGAAGGTAATGATAAAAACTCTGAACTGCCTACAGCTTTTTAAAAACTTCCATTAGCTCCACATTTTGCTGAGGTAAAAAGTGTTCCTTTATTCTGATTTTTCTGCTGTAAGCCCTACAAAGATATCTGCAAAGCTCACCTAAGGCAACAGACCGATTTACAGGATCCCAGGATTTTCTTTGCAGAAAGAGGAGAGACTGAAAATTGATAGGTCAGACACTGTGGTCTCACAGAATTTGTAAAAATTCCATGTGCCCTTGCTGCCAGTTTGAATTCAAGAACCATGAGATTCATCTTGCTTGATTTGCCTTAACCCCTAGTTTCATATCATCTTTGCTTGAAGGATAACAGTTCAAAGCAAACCCTATTTGCAACTTCTTGGTGATCCAAGAAAAATATTACCATCTCTCCCTTCACCTCCCCCATTTTGTTTCAATGAATGAAACACATAGTTTTTTTTTCCACATCCTAATACGGATGCTCTTGAATACCTAAACTCATTCCCAGTTCAACTTGGAACTGTCCATGGTTCTGCTTTCTTGCTTCTATTCTTGCCCAGTTCTTCGTTCACCCTGTGAACTCCCCTGGAAGAGAAGAACCAAAGCTGAGAGAGAGGGGGGGGGGCTTGGCTGGTAGATGCTTGCCCTGAAATTCTGAGAAGGGTGGGATACAAATTCTGAAAATATTGACCTCTTGTTTCTTTATCATTGCCAAGATTTTGGGCTAAGCCAGGTCCATGTGTTAATTGATTTGCCCATTCATCTCATGAAATCCTTTCCTTGTACAGTACAGAAAAGCAGGGGGTATGGGCAGGTGAGGGGTGAGAGCATGCAGCCTTGGGCAGAGCACCAAATAGCACCCATTCCTCCTGGCTCCATGGTTAAGGTTGTTGTTGTTTAGTGGTTAAGTTGTTTCCGACTCTTCGTGACCCCATGGACCAGAGCACACCAGGCTCTCCTTTCTTCCACTGCCTCCTGGAGTTGGGCAAAATTCATGTTGGTAGGTTCGAGGACACTGTCCAACCATCTCGTCCTCTGTCATCCCCTACTACTCTTGCCTTCACACTTTCCCAGCACGAGGGTCTTTTCCAGGGAGGCTTCTCTTCTCATGAGATGGCCAAAGTATTGAAGCCTCAGCTTCAGGATCTGTTCTTCCAGTGAGCCGCTGAGGGTTGATTTCTTTTAGAATGGATAGGTTTGTTCTCCTTGCAGTCCAGGGGACTCTCAAGAGTCTCCTCCAGCACCACAATCCAAAAGCATCAATTCTTCAGCAGCCAGCCTTCTTTACACATTGCTGGGGGGGGGGGAAATGTGTAGCCTGCATAACTAACTTGTAAACCACCCAGAGAGGGCTTGAAGCACTATGGGATGGTATATAAGCAGCACGCTTTGCTTTTTATGGTCCAGCTCTCACTTCCATACATCGCTACAGGAAAAACCATAGCTTTGACTGTGTGGACCTTTGTCGGCAAGGTGATGTCTCTGCTTTTTAAGCTGCTGTCTAGGTTTTTCACTGCTTTCCTCCCAAGAAGCAGACGTCTTTTAATTTCATGGCTGCTGTCACCATCTGCAGGGATCATGGAGCCCAAGGAAGTAAGATCTGTCACTGCCTCCATATCTTTCCCTTCTATTTGCCAGGAGGTGATGGGACCAGTGGCCATGATCTTAGTTACAGTTAGTTATGGTTAAGGTACATAGTTTCAAAGACAGCCAAGTAATCGTGGTTCCATAAGCATCCATCCCCATCCCTGGCAATATAAATGCCACCATAACAGGGAAATTCACTAACAACATGTTGCCCTTTTAGGGATTCCAAAATCTGCTGCCTGAGGCAATTGTCACACTTTGATAATGCTTGTGTCAACAGTGAGCAGGAGAGAGAAAAGAAGGAAGGAAGGAAAAGAAGAATGAAAAATGGGCCTGTCACTTCCAGAAGGTCCCCATGTCTTCTTCTATGCAGCTGCAAAATGAGGCCTTATTAGCCTACCTGCCCCATAATTTAACTGAAATAAGTCTCACAAGTATTATGACTTTACTTCAACCTCAGGTTTTACAGCTCTCCTGGTGTATCTCCAGGACAGGCTAAGTCAGACCCTTTCTTTGGATAAGGGGTGGCAACTTTGGTTTCTGTTGCCTGACCAATGGCTTCCTATTGCCATCTGTCCCTTTCTTTTTCAGACTCACATGAGAAAAGAAGCAGGTGGCTTTTGATAAACAAAGGAGGTGATAAAAGCCCAGAGTCCCTTCCTTCATTTGCATTTTCAATGTGCTTGAAGACTGGCAGGTCATAAACCAACTTCACTGCCCTTGATCAAATTAATTGTTAGGATTAGGATTTATGGTTTTTATTTAGTGTGTTTCTTAAATGGGATGACCCGAAGCAATGAGTCAGAAGCTGATCATAAAAGGAAGGTGTGTGCAGGAGCCATTATATGTGTGCTCATTGTGAAGTGATACATAACTGCAGTTAAAACTCTCTGCTTCCAACCACTCCCCAGGCTTCATAATGCAAGTCAAGGTCCCTTAGAATTATTAGCTCTTTGTAGATATTTAATCCCAGCTGAGAAGTACTGAAGGACATGATGAAAATGGCCTTGAGACTGCTCAGCAGAGGGATACTGCAGTGTTGATTTGGGAATGTTATGGAACACAATGGCAACAGGGTGTTAGGCAGGAGAGTTTTGGTCCAAGTCAGTTTTAGAATAACCTTGCCTGTGACATTCGTCAGGGACTTGGCCATTATAATAGAAGGCTGGTTAGCTTCTCGGCTAGATTACCGCACTATGTTTTATATGAACCTGTCTTTGAAGACTGTCCAGCAACAGCAACTGGCAGACAGGTTGCCAGACTAGTCAGTAAGTCTTGAATCTGGCTTGAGTTCTGATAATGAACAATAGTCTGTCTTCTTAATAAAAAGCTCAGTAACTAAACAAAGGCTAGAGCAACTCCCTAGGAGGAGGCATTACATAAAACTGACCATTGGAGATTTTATGTCTAGTCTCACAACAGCGTTGTGTCCCTCCATTCCACCATTTATATATTTTTTTCTATGAAGAATATCTTCTTGTGTTTGTAGCCACAGGTGTTGGCTTTTTGTGCATGTCTGGCAACAAATAGATAGCACATACATATAACACCATTTTTATAACAATGGATAGTCCAGAACAGGCAAAGAAAATGAGAAGCTGAGCAAGAGACCTAGACAGACCATGTGAAGAAGAAGAGAAACTGAAGGAAACAGGAAATGGCACATCGTCTTCTGAAGATGAGCCCATTGTCCTACTCAAGTGCCATCAATGCCTCTCATCTGCTGGGCACAAGCATATTATCTAAAACCTTCAGGTTCTTTTTGAAAAATGGAGCTGAAGGTGATGCAGAAACACAGCTAAAATAGGTTCCCATTAATATGCAGGACATAGTGCAGAGACGCTTTTTACTGAATAGTGAACACAAAATTCAATTTGCAAACATTTCAACAGGATTTTAGTATATGGTTAATATTTCTAATGGAAATTCAGGACCTGTCTGCCTGAAAGTTTGCATTTCACCATCGGCTCTTTTTGCAGTACGAATGGCACCAGAGAACTTCTTCCTGCTGGCTTCTCACCTCCATTTGAACTTGAAAACACACTTCTTAAAGCATGAATAAAATTTTATTCTCTGCTCTTGTAAAGCAGGGCTGGGTTCCAGGAAGTCACCTTGGTTAATTGGCAACTGTTTCTTCCTCCCCAAGGTAAGATGACTTGAGGAAACTGTTGAATGGCTGAAGCTTGTGCTCAGTGGGATTCGCCTGACTAACTAACTAGCCTGTCACATAATTCTGAAGCTAGGAAAACAAGATGCAGGGTAAGGAAATGGAAGGTTTGAATCTTTGAGGTCAGT